GATGTCCGAGCACCGAGGAGTCCCGGCGATAGCTGACGATGTCCGAGCACCAACGAGCGAGGAGTCCCTGGCGTAGCTGGCGATGTTCGAGCACCGAAGAGCGAGGAGATCCTAGCGTTGCTGGCGATGTTCGAGCACCAAAGAGCGAGGAGTCCCCGACGTCGCTGGTCGATGTCTCGAGCACCGAGGAGTGAAGAGTCCCTAGCGTCGCTGGCGATGTCCGAGCACTGAGGAGTCCCCGGTATAGCTGGCGATGTCCGAGCACCGAGGAGTCCCCGCGCGTAGCTGGTGATGTTCGAGCACCGAAGAGCGAGGGTCCCTGGCGTCGCTGGCGATGTTCGAGCATCGAAGAGCGAGGAATCCATGGCGTCGTTGGTGATGTTCGAACACCGAGGATCGAAGAGTCCCTGGCGTCACTGGCGATGTCCGAGCACCGAGGAGTCCCCGGCGTAGCTGGCGATGTCCGAGCACCGAAGAGCGAGGAGTCCTCGGCGTCTTTGGCGATGTCCAAGCACCGAAGAGCGAGGAGTCCCCGGCGTCGCTGGTGATGTTCGAGCACCGAAGAGCGAGGAGTCCCCGACGTTGCAGGCGATGTCCTACCACCGAGGAGTCCCTGGCGTCGCTGGCGATGTCCGAGCACCGAGGAGTCTCTGGTGTAGCTAGTGATGTCAAAGCACCAAAGAGCGAGGAGTCCCCAGATAGCTGGCGATGTCCGAGCACCGAAGAGCGAGGAGTCCCCGGCGTAGCTGGCGACGTCAGAGCATTGAGCCGCAAGGTGAAGTGGGGTGAAGTGTGCCCACTTAGTCCCCGAACGAAGAATCCGAGCGACGAGGAGTCCCTGGCGTAGCTGGTGATGTCCGAGCACCAAGGAGTCCCTAGGTATCTAGCGATGAAGCACAAGCGACGAACAGTCTAGTCAACTGGTCGTCGGCGAAGTGAGCATTGAGTAGAAGCGACCGACGAATAGTCCGATCAACTGGTCGGCGACGAAGTCCATGAACCTAGCGGTCTGACCAATTGTTCGGTGGAGAAGTCCGAGCACTAGGTGGTCCGATCACCTGGACGATGATCCTACAATACAAATATGTAGAACGGGTAGTACATGATGTAAAAATATATGAACTCCGAAAAAAAATCAGCAATGGCGATAAAATAGCATATGTAGCTCGACGATCAGTTGGTGTGAAGATGTAATTATATTTAATATAAACCGCCATTCCGATTACTGTGTAGCTGAGTCTCTGGCCCTAGCTAGCCTGTTAACCATAACGTCGAGCGCGGAGCCCGTGCACGTGTAGGAGGAACAGGCGTGACCAAGGAACCATAGCCGACCACCCATAATGTAGAGCGCGGAGCCCATAGTACGTGTAGGGAGGAGCCGGAGACATGACCGTCTCTAGAGGCGTCCGAGCGTCAACATGACTATTCGGGGGTTTGAAAAATCGTTTAGAGAGCAAACATGGAGAAAACAGCTCGGAGAAATATTATGGCAATATACGAAGATTGGAGAATATTTTGAAAAATATTAAAGCGTAACTTAGCTTTAGATAGAACGTCTGGTCGGCGGCGTATGGCATTATCTGGTCGGCGATGCGGGCAGCTCACTTAACGGCTCGGTTCGTTTGACGGCTTAACACGACAAGCGAAGTTGGAGTCGGCATTGGCAGAGTCGGAGGGTCTAGACTCGATCGGAGCGGACTGTCGATCGATCTGCTTGTAGACATGATTGTCCTCTTGCATGGTTGTAGTAGTCTAATGCCCTCTTGCATGTAGATCGTACATCCATCTTGCTTGCTGACGTCATCTTGGACTGTGAAGATTAGGGCTACTGTTGTATGACGCAAAACCATGCCGTCGAGCAGGGGTTGTCACCACCGCCAGACTCCACGCACGAAAGTGTGAAGTTGTGTCGCCATGGATGATGTAGATGTCGTCAAGATCTTGATCGCAATTAGTCAAAAAGCCATCTGGTTCATCATGAGATCAGCACGCACGCCCCTACCGGCGCGCCAACTATCGACAAAAGATGCTCGGCAGTCCACCGAGGGGTATCCCACGATGGTAGATTTGTCGGTGGAGGTGCGCGTGATCAGGAACTAGATGGTGACATAAGGCGCAGAGACAACGATTTAGACAGGTTCGGGCCGTCTGATCGACGTAATACCCTACGTCCTGTGTCTTTGGTGTATTGTATTGAGATATATCTCTGATTCGATGTCCACTAGGGGACCCCTGCCTCTCCTTATATACTTTGGAGGGTTAGGGTTATAAGAAAAGTATCCTATTTGGTACTATACAATGTCTTGTGGTGCACACCGAGCAGCACCATGCACGCCTTGATGTTGTGGGCTGGGTCACCTCTGATGGATATCGGGGGCCATACCCCCACACAAAGAAGACTGCAAAGCGAGATGTAAGTGTGGCAAATGGTAGAGCATACATGGATCTTTATCAACATTTGAGTACGAAGGAATGAGAGAAGGATATTTATAGGATGGCTAGGGTTCATGAGAGAAAGACAAGGACTTCAACCAAGTTAAGTGCATTAAGGATGAAAGGGAGCATCTCTTGGTGAAGGAGGATGAGATCCGGCATCGATGGCAAGAGTATTTTAAGAAATTATTCAATGGTGAAAATAGAGACAAACCTTTTAGTTGGATGACTATTTTGATAACACCAATAGGCGCTTTGTGCGGAGAATCCAAGAATCTGAGGTCAGAGAGGCGTTGAAAAGGATGAAAGGAGGTAAGACGATGGGATCGGATGGTATCCCAATCGAGGTGTGAAGATGCCTCGGGGACATAACTATAGTATGACTAACCAAGCTGTTCAACTATATTTTTTGATCGAACAAGATGCTTGACCAGTGGAGGAAAAGTATATTTGTACCGATCTACAAGAATAAAGGGGATATTCAAAGTTGTACTCATTACCGGTGAATTAAGTTGATGAGCCATACTATGAAGCTATGGGAGAGAGTTATCGAGCATCGCTTGAGAGCAATAACGCAGGTCTCTATGAACCAATTTGGTTTCATGCCCGGAAGGTCATCCATGAAAGTCATTTTCTTAATAAGACAAGTTATAGAGTGGTATAGGGAAAAAAAAGAAGGACCTACACATGATTTTTATTGACTTAGAGAAGGCTTATGATAAAATACCAAAAAATGTTATGTGGTTAGCTTTGGACAAACATAAAGTCCCAACGAAGTACGTCGGGCTCATTAAGTACATGTACAACAATGTTGTGACTAGTGTTCGAACAAGTGATAGAGACATGAATGACTTTCCGATTAGGATAGGACTACGTCAAGGGTCAGCTTTGAGTCCTTATCTGTTTGTCTTTGCGATGGATGAGGTCACAAGGGACATACAAGGGGACATCCCTTGGTGTATGCTTTTTGCGGATGATGTAGTGCTAGTTGATGAAAGTCGGATAGGAGTGAATCAGAAACTGGAGTTATGGCGGGAGACTTTGGAATGCAAAGGTTTTAGACTCAGTTAAACTAAAACTGAGTATATGAGATGTGATTTCGGCACTACTACTCGGGAGGAGAAAGATATTAGTTTGGAAGGTCAAGTAGTGGCTAGGAAGAATACCTTTCGATATTTAGGATCAATACTACAGAGAGACGAGGATATTGATGAAGATGTTAGCCATATAATCAAAACAGGGTGGATGAAGTGACGCCAAACATCTGGTGTTCTATGTGACAAAATGGTACCACAGAAGCTAAAATGCAAGTTTTATAGGACGACGATTAGACTTGCTATGTTGTATGGTGCAAAATGTTGGCCTACGAAAAGACGACATGTTCAACAGATAAGTATCGCGGAAATACGTATGTTGCATTGGATTTACGGTCATACAAGAAGGGATCGAGTTCGGAACGATGATATACGTGATAGATTAGGGGTAGCACCAATTGAAGAAAAGCTTGTCCAACACCGGTTGAAATGGTATGGACATGTCCAACGGAGACCTCCAGAGGCACCGGTGCGTAGTGGAATCCTAAGCCAAGATAGTAACGTGAAGAGAGGCAGAGGAAGACCGAAGTTGACTTGGGTAGAGGCAATAAAAGGAGACTTGAAAGGATGGAATATATCCAAAGACTTAGCCTTAGATAGGAGTGCTTAAAAAACAGCTATTCACGTGCCTGAACCTTAATTATTTCTGTTGGGTTTTAACCTCCAGTCTACCCCAACTTGTTTGAGACTTAAATGCTTTGTTGCTGTTGTTGTATAGGGAAATTATCTCAAGCCACCTGATGAGGTTTGTCATATTTAGTTACAAAATCGAGTGAGTCCTTTTAGCTGTTTCACTTGAATATGGACACATGCCACTGGGAATAATGACTATTGAGTTCACTTTGGGGAATTTATGGCTGCTGGGATGAGCCCACTGCTAATAATGTTTTAGGATTTACTTTCTTGGATGAGGTGATCGAATGCAGGGCAACTAGATGAGGTAACACCCGAACAGGAAAATTCTAGAGGGGTCTTGTATGATTTCTTCTACTGAAATGCATATCATATGGAGGAAGATGAGCTCATTAGATTAGACAAAAAAGCCTTGCTTGTCAGAACAAAATAGCCCCCTAATTTACAATGTTTAAGTAAAATATGCAAAATGCTCAGTGATTAGGCAGTAAATGAAGCATGGAATGCTGAAGGTGTTTCTGGAATGCATAGCTTGGTTCTTGTATTGTTTCCTGAAATATATTTTTCATCTAAATGAGCCATTTCTGTATCATAAAAACACAGCTATACGGGCGCTTCCCAAAATTACATGTGTATGCGTATGGAGCCGCACCATGTGTGGATTATGTGGTAGCAGATGCCTGCTCACAATCTGTTACCAGGTGAGATTCATAACATTTTACAGTGGAATTTACTGTATAATTATTTATTTGCCAATGCTAACAGTAACATGAGGTTTCTGATAAACCGTCCATCACTTACAGTATAGTCCATAATGAAGAATTTTCTGCACGATTATCCATGAATTCAGTAATTAGATTGCGTAGCTCAGCTGTGACAGCTCTTTCAAAGGGTGCTTCCCCCAATTATGCTAAAGTTGGTAAACTAGTTGGTGGAATCATGAGTGCCAGAACAGACGATAAAAATGCACTAGATCATTGTGCTTCTGCTGGTGCTCTGCAGACAGTTAGTGAGGCTGAGCGAAGTAATGATCAAACGCATGGAAGGAATCCAATGCATACAATTAGAGGTGGTTTATTTCTCTTTGGCCAAGCAATATCTTGCTTGATAAATACTCCAAAACATCGAGTTAGCTCCACAGCAGCAATTAACTATGAGTTGGGCAGATCTAGAATGACTACTGTTAGTGATGGAAGGAAATCCATGGTTGCTTACCGCGGTTTTATGGATGTTTTGCACTGTGGAGAAGGTAATGCACACGTAGACAGTCAGTTTCGAGAAGATGACTTGTATGAATGTGGTGGGGCATACAGATCGCCTCATTCAAATGATGGTCCTGGACTGATGTCTGCTTCTGATGATCACATGATTACAATAAGCTCATCTGAAGGACAGTCACCAGAGGTTTATCTTCCTGGTCTTGTTGTTCATGTTGTTCCAGTAAAGAAAGGTGCTTCTCCATTGCAGAAGACAATTGTTACACGTCAAAAGAACAAGAGTTACAAAGCGTTTATTGCTTGTCGAAAAGATTTTATGGACCTTGTTGTGACACCTTGCATGTTCCTTGATCATCTCCCTTGGAGGTATGTCCTAAAAAAATCTACTCAAATGGAAGTTCCATGTATTTAAGGTTCATATTTATGTGCTATTCCAAATGAAAATTTATTATGTATGAAATTCAGACCATTCTCATTTAGTGGGATTGAAATTGCATCAGTTTCACTTAATCATTCAATCAAAGCGTGCTGCAAGTCTTCATGGAGTAGCACATCGGCAATAACCTTTAGGAAATGCAGTCTGGCAAGAACAAGTGTAGGGCTTATTTAGCAAATGGCAATGGTGCATCCAGGAACAAATGTAGCACTTATTTAGCAAATGGCAATGATGCATCCATGTATTCTTGTTTGCGGATTGGTTATGCATTTTCTGAACTAACAGAAATTGACCTTTATGGTTTGTAGGTGCCACTATGCCATGCAAAAGGTCATAGAAACACGAAAACGGGATCAGCTCACCAGTGATCCGTCCACTGCAGAGGAAGCTGTACAAGTCTATTAGTGCATGCCTTCTTTGTTGTACATACGTTAGGTAAATCGGATCACTTATGGAGTTATGGGCAATACGGGCTGATGGTTACATATAACAGTATTGTCTGTATAAGTAGAGCTTAGGAGAGTTTAGGCCGACCGAAACAGGGCGTCTGCCCATTCTGATGAGGATTACCTGAATCTTAGCATTGTTGTACGCAGCCTTTGACATATGCAGGCTCTCTGTGAGATCAACCGAGCTACCATTGTGGTTTATGGAACCAGTTTGGTAGATAACACAGCCTATATGGCAATCAAAGTTTTGCTCCAAACAGTGTTGTAAGTTTGTACGTTTGCACAGCCACGCATGTAACTGTGATGTGGTCAAAAGCAAAACAGTACCAAGCATGAGCGGGTAGTACGGCATCTACGTATTGAATAAACTACCATGTGCCTGTTGGATGAAGTTTCCTTGACATTCTGCTGGTGCGAAGTCTGAAAGAATTCCAACCTTCTTCTATCTTCTTCCAATGAAAGTCATGCTAGTATTATGCATTTGAATTCATTGACGAGGAGCATTTTGACTTGCTTGCCGCAGGTATGAGTTGTGAAGCAGATCTGCGTGACATGATTGAAGGTGAGTTTTACTCGCAAGTACAAAAAGATACTACGTGATCCAATCCAGTCAAAAAAGGTAACTTTGTCATTGACTTGTCAGGGTTCACTTTTAAAATTCATATAATACCTAGTATTTTTATTAAAAACATATTTATTTTTTCATATACATAAAAAATTGAGATTTCTCGGTGGTTGCAGAGATGGGGTGCTTGCATTGAATAATCCATATTTCAGAAAACAATAGCACACAACCAGATCTCTGACTCTGATCCAGAAGGTGATGACTCTGATGAGGATACATGCAGCCACCGTACCTTATGTATTATCATGACTTCAATAGACATGGATGGAAACGATTACGTTTATATTTAGAGCGCTTGAACGATACCTCACCATCCCATGCGAGCACAATAAACAAAGCATGAATAAAAATGATTCTGTCGATCCTGCAGAAATGGAGGCACCTGTGTGGCGTCATCATCGTCAATCTCATCCACCAGATCAGATATGAAAGAAGATTGGATTGGGAAGAACCAATGCTGCTGCAAGTGCAAGGATCAGAGGAATCGTAGTACGTGATGACGCCAAGCAACTAAGTGATAGATGGATCATCGATGGTCGGTCCAGGCACGCAATGCGTCCATCCAGTCACAGGAAATTAAACTATATATAAGCAGTTTTCTGAAGACTGAACCCAACTTGCTGTTGCTTGGTGACATACATAATGCAGGATTATTGCAGGGTGGAGCCTGGAGCTGCTCTGACCTAACGAGTGATCAGCTATCGCAAAATTAAGCCAAAAGTCAGGCCCATGGATAGATTCGATGCGATCGTTATCGTGTTCGAGTCAAGTTCATCGGTCATCGCTATCATTTGTATTATTCCTAACGTCATATTATTCCTATTGTTTCGGGCAGGAATTCATTTTAATGAAATAGTACATAGTAGACCCCTTTCCCTTATTGGTTTCTTCCAATATATACTCTCTACATCCAGAAATGTAATGACTTCCGGTACTTTATAAATTTGTCAACACATATAAAGACTTATTGAGCAACCCCAAGAGACTCCGATTTTTTTTCTCTATACTCTAATAGATTATCATAAATTTTCTTCTGTGAAAAAATCATGAAATATTTATCATATATTGTATTTAGAGAGCCATGTAACCTCTCCAAAAGTTGAGATCAACGAGAAGTGTGGTTTTAAAGAGCGGAAAAGATAGAATGTGATTTAGAGTCTATCAGACCTTTTTTTGTGTTTCTAATTTTTGTGATAAAAAGCTGTGTAGAAGTCTCTTGAAGATGCTCTTCCTCGCTACGTCCAACCCTTTAATTGCACCAATCAGGAGCTGACCATGTTTAAATTGGGCTGATTAGGAACTAGCCGTCCTTTAATTGCATCAATTAGAACTTGCACCGATAAAAAAAATGTAATGAATCAGTATGGCATTCCCTACATCTCCTAGTTATAATAAACTTTATCCATCCATAATGTTTATTGCAAGAAATGTGGTCTATCTCGATACTTTTATTATATGTTATCTGCCTGCTTAATGAAATACGCGCATAAGCACGCTCGTGAATTTTTTTTATTATATGTTATCTATCCATAATGTTTATTACAAGAAATGTGGTCTTTCTCGATGATTTTATGAGTGGCCAATAGTTTGAGCTCGCATATTTTTTGAGCATATCTGCATCTTTCCAAACCGTTTTATAAATCCCCAGCAATGTAATTCGCAGCAAACTGATTATCCACAGCAATGTAATTTGCGCAAGTATATTAGAAAACCATGTGCAACCTGTAATTTGCGCAAGTATATTAGAAAACCATGTGCAACCTGTAAAAAGTTGTTGGGAAAAGTTAGTCTTGTAGCGGTATGGACTTCCAGCATTTCAAATTAGTCCACGAATATAAGGACTTGCGAGTACCGAGACTATGTCTAACCGTTTAATTGCATCAATCATCAGTAGCCGACCTTCCTTCATTTGTGCAATCAGCCCGTCTTTTAATTGCACCAATCAGGAGCTTGCCGTCTTTTAATTGCACCAATCAGAAGCTGACCCTCTAATTTTAATTAGAGATAGCCGAGTCTTTTCTATCTGTCTTAGATTGTTCTAAAAATCTCAAATCGAGAATACTTACATTTATGAACCGAGAGGGAGTGTTAAAAACCAAAGAGTAATAACAGATCCACTAGCCAAAGTAATGTTTATATAGGAAATATAGCATAACCAGAGCAAATATTCTTGTAAGAGAAACCTTGCAACTCGGGACACTTATATAAGATGGATGTGATTTCGGGAAGATTTTGTACTAATCCAAATCCAGCTTTATTTGTTCTAATCTGATCTGACGTAGCCAAGTGAAACACATGCATGCGTGTGCGGTGTGACCACACCAGCCGGCCACACACCAGGGGTCTCGTTTAATTCTGCACCGGCCAGGCGCCAAGAAGTTTCAGATCAGAAGGTTAGCACCCCGTATGGAACACCGCCAGCCAGCCGCGCATGCATCGATCATCTGCGGCGTCCCTCTCGATCTGGCCTCAAATCTCCATCGATTCCTCTAACTGGAAAGCACCACGGAGGCACGGCTGGAGCCTCGCTTGTCCATCTGAGAAAAACGGAGCCCCCGGCCCGGCAGACTTTCAAGTTTCAACGCCGGCCCTTTCCAATTTTTGTCGTCCGGTCCGGCGCGCGACGACGTACCACGGAGGCTTTTCCTTTCCTCGCGCCACCAGAACTTTATTCCTTCCCGAGGAAAGTAAATGCAGGGGCGCGTCAAGTTTGCCCTCTGCCTTTTTCCGGTAATGTGTTGTGGTTTCAGCGACCGGCGGCCAGCCGGACCGGAGGGAAGAAGCCCGGAACAAGCACCGCCGCCGGCCGCCCGCCCGCCCAGCCAATGTGCAGGTTTGACAAATACGAGAAGATGTTTGTCGCTGATGGATACGATACGATGCAGTGACGATACAATATGGATGGATCTTGCTCTGCTAGCTAGCCGGGCGGCCGACGAAGCTGGAAATTCCACGCCAATGTGACGGCGGTGCATGCGCCGGCTGCATTCATGCTCGATCTCTCACAGCTGGTCTACAATCAAAGTGCAGCAAGCAAGGGTGCAATGCGAGCCCGTGGACGACTACTCGACGTCTTGATCCCACCTACCAGCTGCCAACGAAGACTCACGACGTACTCGACGTCTTGGCAAGCCGCGCGCACGGTGGTGGCTTGGTGCCAAGTGCCGAGTGCCGTACCCGGGTAGGAGTAGAGTAGGTAGGTGCATACAATGGCCAGGTGTCAGAAGGCCGCGCGAAGGTGCATGCGTGCTGTGATGCCGGCCGAGGGCCCCCGCCCTTGCACGCCGCCACCGTCGTCGTCGTCGGGATACGCGCACACACGCATTGTCAATCGAGCACCGCGCCCCGCCCTGACAGCCGCAGGGGCAGGGTCGTCTCCTCTAGGTACTCCGTACACGTACTGCCAGCACAAGTAAACAGGACGTACTGCTCAAGTACTGTAGTGCTGTGCTGCAGTTAGGGCCACTTTAGTTCACCAAAAATTTTGTCAAATATATGAAAGCCAAAATAGGGTAGCAGCACACCAAAATGCTGACACCAAAAGTTTTTGCATTTTGCTATTTAGTTGCCAAGAATTTTGCATCGATATCAGCATTGAATAGTAGATTTCGGTTGCATTAATTGTGTTCCATGCAAACTGCATGACCACTCCTCATCTAACATTTATTCAGAGTATTCACATTCAACAAAACTGTCATCCCTATTACATCACAGACTGTGCTCAAGCATTCACAGAAGCCGTAACACACTGTACTATAGAAACATGTACTGAACCACACAAAACTGTCAATTACGATCCATCAGAGCACTAGCAAGCGAATCACGGATGGCATTCATGCATGACCACTCATCCTCCACTACCTCGGGTTCAGGTTGATTTTCATAAGCTTGTCTCGGCACAAAGTTCTCATTTCGGTCACACCTACCGAAATGCTTATCTGCTAAGCCACTAGTCCTCACCAAATTATGAAGAGCCATACATGCACAAATGATTTGGGCTTGCTTCTTAGGTGAATAAGGAGTGATCTTTTGCAAGATCCGCCACTTCATTTTCAGTACCCCGAATGACCTCTCAATAACATTCCTAAGAGAAGAGTGTGTGTAATTGAAGAGCTCTTATTTACGTTGTGGCTCGGGCCCGTCGCGGAAGTCCTAGAGATGGTACTTGGTTCCCTTGTATGGAGCAAGATAACCCAGCCGGTTAGGATACCCGGAGTCCATTAGATAGTATTTGCCTACGGCAACAAACAAATTATGAGCAACAGGTACATAACCAACAAAGAACAATTGCACTCATGTGTACCTACGTACCATTTGGTGGATGTGGAAAG